AGGAGCTTACGGTCCTCCACGCGCAACTCGATGACTTGTTGGACAAGGGCTGGATCCGCCCTAGTAGCTCCCCATATGGAGCGCCAGTTCTCTTCGTACGGAAGAAGAACAAGGATCTACGATTGTGCATCGACTACCGCAAGCTCAACGCACAAACCATCAAGAACGCGGGGCCTCTTCCTCATATCAACGATCTTCTTGAACGATTGGGTGGCGGGAAGTACTTTTCAAGATTGGATTTGAAGTCGGGATATCATCAGATCTCAATCCGGCGGAATGATTGCTAATTTGCTATAAATCCGCGTTCAAGACACGGTATGGGCAATTTGAGTGGGTGGTCATGCCTTTTGGCCTCACCAAAGCGGCAAGGACTAACGAGTTTCGTGCGATGTTGGACCGGTTCATGCTAGTCTACTTAGACGACATTCTCTTCTATAGCCAAACATTGGAGGATCATCTTGAGCACCTTCAACGTGTTGGAGAAGCTCCGCCGCGCCAAGTACCACGCCAACCGCGACAAGTGCGAATTTGTGCGGCAAGAGCTGGAATACTTGGGCCATTTTGTCACACTGGAGGGCATCAGTCCGTTGTCAGACAAGATTCTAGCCATCCAAGAGTGGTCGGAGCCGCGGAACGTCACGGATGTTCGTTCGTTCCTTGGCCTTGCCGGCTACTACCAACATTTTATCAAGGGATACTCGAAGATTGCGGCCCACTTGACCAAGCTTCAATGCGAGGATCGGCCGTTTGACATCGGGGAGGACGCGCGGGAATCATTTTTGGCTCTCAAAGCCGCGCTATTATCTGCGGAGGTCTTGCGCATATACGACCCTCTATTGCCAACGCGCGTCACTACGGATGCGTCCGGCTATGGCATCGGTGTCGTCCTCGAACAACACGATTGCGTGGACTGGCACCCGATCGAGTACTTCAGCAAGAAAGTGCCCGTCATGCACTCCATCGATAATGCACGCAAGAACGGGCTCCTAGCCTTCATCCACTCGCTCAAGCGGTGGCAGCACTTCCTCCTTGATCGAAGTCAATTTCGATGGGTAACGGACAACAATCCGTTGGTCTTCTACAAGACCCAAGACACCGGCAATAGCACCATCGCCCAATGGATGGCCTTCCACGACCAATTCGACTTCTTTCCCGATCACATTTCGAGGAAGTCTAACCGTTTTGCGGATGCTCTTTCACGGCGTCTGGATCATTGTACTGTAGTCTATTCGACCTTCGAAATTGGCGACGATCTGCAGGACAGTTTCATCCACAACTACTAAGCCGACCCCGAGTTTCGCGACATATACGCGAATTGCTCCTCTCCTAATCCGGCACCTTCTCACTACCGGATCCAAAAAGGGTACTTGCTTGTCCACACGTAGGGGAAGGACCTTCTTTACGTACTGAGTGACCCTCACTTGCATACCCGGCTTCTTGGCGAGTTCCACGATGCTCCCGCCACTGAACATTTTGGCCTTCATCGACCAATTCTACTTCTTTCCCGATCACATTTCGGGGAAGTCTAGCCGTTTTGCGGATGCTCTTTCACGACGTCCAGATCATTGTACTGCAGTCTATTCGACCTTCGAGATTGGCGACGATCTGCATGACAGTTTCATCCACGGCTACCAAGCCGACCCCGAGTTTCGCGACAACTACGCGAATTGCTCCTCTCCTAATTCGACACCTTCTCACTACCAGATCCAAGAGGCGTACTTGCTTGTCCACATGTAGGGGAAGGACCTTCTTTACGTACTGAGTGACCCTCACTTGCATACCCGGCTTCTTGGCGAGTTCCAAGATGCTCCCACCACTGAACATTTTGGAGTCAATCAAACGATTGGCAGACTTCGCGAGCGTTTTTGGTCGCCCGGTCTTCTCGGCGACGTCACACACTATTGAGAGTCATACGAGGTTTGCTGACGCTGCAAATCCCCCAACCATTGTCTGTACGGCGAGTTGCGACCATTACCGGTCCCCTTGCGCCGGAGGGAGGCGATTGCCATGAACATTACCTGCCCGTTCCCCAAGCAAAAGACCGGTGTGGATGGGATTCTCAAGGTGGTCGACCGACTCACCAAGTTCGCCATGTTTTTGCCTTGCCGCTTTCATGCCAAGGCACCCGCAACACTCGGTTGATGTCCGAGGTTCATATACCGGTTGGATTCGAACCAAGGGTTACCCCAAGGAAATTGTCTGCGACCGCGACACTCGGTTCATGTCCGATTTTTGGTTGGCGCTCATCAAACGATGGGGCTCATCTCTCAAGATAAGTTCGGCTCGCCACCCCCAAACCGATGGCCAAATGGAGAGGGCGCATCAGACCGCACAAGTTCTCCTTCGCACTCTCATCCGTCCCAACCGAACGGATTGGGTTGAGCGGCTGCCGGATGTCCTATCGGGATGTCGCCCTTCGAGTTCGAGCACGGCTCGCCGGTCACTTTTCCGTTGGACACAATCATTCCACGAGCGGCCGAAAGCGACTACCATCTTCTTTTTTTGCGTCGGATGCAAGAGCTACTTGTCGAGGCACGCGGCCAGATGGCTAAGACGCAGCAACGCATGAGCCAACAGGCCAATCGCCAGCGTCTTCCTTGTCTATTCCGCACCGACGATCTCGTTTGGGTTTCCGCCGTGGAGTTTAGCCTCGAACAAGATATCTCTCACAAGCTCCTTCTGAAATGGATGGGGCCCTGGCCAATTGTGGCACCCGCTAGGGATGCACCCGAAGGACCTTCCTTCATCATTCAGGTGCCCGCCCACTTGCCCGTCTACCCGGTCTTTCATTGCTCCAAGTTGGCTCTTTACACGCCAGCGGAACATGACGATTTTCCCGGGCGACGATCGCAAGACCCACCCTCTATGGACGGTGTTCAAAAGGTCAGCAAAATCATCTCCCAGCGACGCTACGGCAACAAACTGACCGAATACTTGGTACACTTTGCGTACTGCACCCACAAAGCTGACAGTTGGTTGACCCGTGCGGAACTCCAAGCAACAGCTCCAGATGTGTTCTCGCGCGCTATGAACAAAAGATGCAAGGCAAACTGGTATCTTCGGCTCCACGCCGCACCCGCGTCCAGGTTCCACCTTCAGATCGTCAGCTTCGCCCTCGACCCGGCTTGACTTCATAAGGAGGGGGGTTTGTTACATGCTGCGCCTGCAACAGGCTGCACAGGCCATTTTCAGGCCCGTGTCGTTTTCAGCCTGAAAGCCTGAAAACAAGGGCCTACAGGCCCTCCAGGCCCTGAGTCTTTTCAGCCTGAAATGGAGGGCCATTTCCAGGCCCTCATAAGATCGACCTGCCCTGAAACTCGGGCACCAGACCAGGGTTTTAGCACAGGCCATTTTTTGCCTGTTTTCAAGACAACCTTTGTTTGAGCTTCAACGCCAGGGTCTGGCACGTTTTGGCATTGGCAATAGCAGCCTCCTGGACGGGCCAGCACTATAAAAGACCGGCCTGCCCTGCAGGCTGCAGGTAGTTCATAGGAACTTCCCAGGCACTTCACGTGCAGTTCAGGAGGCAGGCGGTAGTCTTCAGGATTCGGCAGCAGCACTCTGGAGGAGCGCTGCAGTAGTAGTAGCGCTAGCAGTAGTCTTCRGCGCTGGGCGCTAGTAGCGTTAGCAGTAGTCTTCAGCGCTGGGTGCTGGTAGGAGTTAGAGTAGTGTTGGAGAGAGAAAGAGAGAGATGGTTGGCGGAGGCCAGGGAGACTTACCTGTACCTGCAACAAGGCGCCACCTTCACAGGTTAGTACAGGACTGAGAGAGAGAGACAGAGTTGTTCTTCTTCCTCTTCTAAGTCCACCATCTCTTCCTCACCCTCTTGCTACCTGGCTTCTCTGTATCTGCAGACTACGAGAGAGAGAGATTTGTGACTTTGGGACTTGACGACATTTGGATCCAGACTCGACATTGGGATTCAGACATTTGACGAGGGATTATTTGGGACCTGTACCGAAGACTTGGTGTTGGCAACATTCCCATCTCCCCCCCTCTTCGTCGTCTGCTTCCCTCCTCTTCGTCTGTGTATGGTCTGGACCTGGCGCATTCTTCCTGTGTGTAGCGCCAGGCCCCTCGCACCTTGCAACGATGATGATGTACCTTGGCTCTGTATTACGATATTGATTGGGTTGATCATTGATATCTTAGCATTCCGCTGCACGCTATCTTGTACTATGTGAGGGAGGTCAGTCCTTGCTCTGGTTTGCACCATTACAGTATTCAACAGTTTGGTATCTCCTCCTCTTCTCACATACGTGAAGTATAATGGGATGTCATGTCAGTCCCAGTCAAGTCAGGACTCATATCCAAGTCTCCCACTGTGTTACAAAGTGCCATTTTGCATATATCAGGATGAACATTGCTTGTTTAGATTTCATTAACATTGCATTGTCCATTAAGTCCTTTTCATCACTTTGCGGATCCTTGGCTCTACATACATTGCCCAACTGGGCATGTAACACGGGCTCTTACCTACCTATGACGTTTCGAACCCCCTAGACCCTACGACCTAGCCTACCAGACTGCCGTAGGACTGGACGTTTCAGGACCCTCAGACTGGAGCTGGGTGTCTGCCGGGTGAATCCTTTCACACTGGCAGTGGTACAAATAATTGACAGTCCCTTAAGGGCCCGTTTGAGCATGCCGTGCAGCAACATGGCTGCATGCCACCTATGTCCAGACTCCAGAGGTAATTCTGGTTCCAGAAATGATTGCTTAGCAGTAGCAGTCACCTCAAAAGGTGCTCCCAACTTTGAAGTGAAATTGGAGCTCCACCTGCAAACTGGGAGTGAGTACCAACGGGCTTAGCTCAGTTGGTACACAAATAAACTGTTGAAATGCAGAGTTCAAATCCAGATCGAACTAGATGAGCGAAGTTCTTGAACTACCACAATGATATCTTTCTTTGAAAAAAAAATACAAATAACCCCAACAACAGGGAGGGCTGTGAGAACAGAGTGGAGTGAGGTACAGGGCAAAGAGCGGAGGAAACTTACCCAACAGGCAAAGGCAGAACGAAAGGGCCAGCAAAATTGCCAGGTCCACGAACGGCTACATGTCTTCCCAATGTGATGCTGCATCGTGACACAAGTGACAGTATGCAGAAGGGCCTCTCAAAGCCATGATGCTCGATATGGGGTTGAAGCCAATCACCCTGCAAGGGTAAAAAAAAGTTAGCGGAGGAATATCCACCAATACACAAGACGACTACGCTGCAAGAAAACAGAAAGTGAGCAGATGGCTAGCCACCAATACAAGGATACTATCATCTTCACCCGAATAGAACGCCCGGTCATTATCGCTGTATCTAGACTGAAAATCGCCCCATATACAGCTGCAATGGCCTGTCGTTCGAGTGAAGACAGTAGAACATATATCTTCAACATATGACTCATTTTTGTACTTAAGAAGACGTCCGGCTACACACATGTTCAACCTGGTGATCTGAGATGGATTTGAGAAGGCTGCATTCAACCTGATGCAAGGGTCAGCTAGGGATCAGACAGGCTAACAGGGAGGGGGCAGGTTCCACTCATCCAGATTCATCAACCTGATGCGAATAACAGGGAGGAACCAGGTCCCCACTCACCCAGATTCATCATTTCCAACCATGGATTACAAAGACTACTCATGGCACAGACCTGATGAGTCCAAATAAGTGGGAGGACATTGCTCCAACAAGTGGAACCTTGCCAAGGTCTCACCCTTTCTAACATTACCGCAACCGAGTTGATCCAGCACGGTCTGAAATTTGAAGATTGAACTCATGATCAGTTTATCACATACATGCAAGCGCACGTCGTGCGGGCGGTTTCCTACTGCGGCGCACGCGCCCAACCGATCCCGCGTGGCGCACGACGTGCGGAGAACGACCCGTCMCCCCCCTCAGAAAAAAAAAAGGCCGGGGTCGAAACGGTGCGTTTGAGGCCCCCCGCCAAAATCATAAGCGAGATGAAAAAAAAAATTACAGGAGTACTGCCTCACCTTGCTCCTCCTCCCCTTCCTCATCCTCCATGTCTCCTCCTCCCTTCTCCTTTTCGTCTCCTCCTCCTCCTCCTCCTCCTCCTCCTCCTGCCCTTCCTCATCCTCCTTGTCTCCTCCTCCTCCTCGTACTTCCTCATCTTCCATGCCTCCTCGTCTCCTTCCCTTCCTCGTGTCCTCCCCTTCCTCGCCGTCCATGTCTTCTCCTCCCACTCGTCCTCCTCCTCCTGCCCTTCCTCTTTTCCCTCCGTCCATCTCTTCTCCTCCCCCATCTCGACGACTCCTCGTCGTCCTCCTCGTCCACATCCTCCTCCTCCTCTCCATATCCCCCTCTCCTTGCCATATCCCCAGCTTCCTGTCATATGCCCCCCCGTTCCCCCTCCCAAAAATAAATAAATAATAATAATAATAAAAATAAAAAACCTGCACGATTCCGCACAGGCACCCCCCGCATGGAACTCCGTACAGAACTCCGCACGAATGTGCGGCTCGTGCGGTTGCAAGTATGGTTTATCAATAGTTACAGGCATGTACCATTTCGCCACCACCCAGGTACAGCAGGTGTCAGGCCTCCTTCTTCATTGTTTCCCCCCTTTTTTCTTACTAAAAACATTTCTCGATTTATGCGTGTCGTCCTTGTGCAGGGGGCCAGGGGCCAATCTAATCTTGTCGGTATCGTTCCAATTTTAACAGATGTCCCGAAGGACTTCTTCTTCATTTATTCTTCGAAACTTCTCTGGGTTCAGGCAACAACCGTGACATCCTTGGTTTCCCGGAAAGTATAATATTTACTTCATTTCACTGAAACTTGTTTCTATGAGGTATCTGTCCAGTTGCCAGCCTTTCTTGTTCGTTTGCTTGCTCTTTGAAACTTTGTTTGAAATTTGAACGTATCATTTGTTCGTTTGCTTGCTCTTTGAAACTTTGTTTGAAATTTGCATGTATCATTTGTTGCTTTTCCAACAACCCAAGATACACATGGCACCCTTGGTTTACCAGAAAATAGAAAGTTCATTATGGTACCTGCTGAGTCGCTGCAAATGTGCCTAAACGGAGGGAGAGTTGAAATCCCACAGAGTACAACACTGTTACAGAATGCTTTTTAAGTTTTAGATGTTATTCTACACCGTGACATTGCCGATCAGACCAGCCCACAGCAGAGGGAAAGACAGTAATGCCACATGAGCACCACAGGCTCCTTTCTGGTCCTCCTCCTAAGCATACCGTCTTTCCCTGAGCACAATGCCCCTCCATTGTGACTCTATTTGGACCGGGGGATAGGGTTTGTTTACACTTATGATGCTGGGCCAAAATCTTCTGCGAAAGAAGGTGTTTGTTTATACACTTAGGAATCATGATGATGGGGCCATATGTTCAGGGAAACAAGGTGTTTTCATACACTAATGATGATAGGCTGTTCTGTTCAGGGAAGAAGGTTGTTGTCCTGGTCCTGATTGACCACCATCTACAAGGAGATAGTAAATAGTCAGCTAGGGAATAGTCAGTGTTCCTCTGCTGGTGTCTGTATATACACTTATGAATCACGATGACGGGGCCATATGTTCAGGGAAACAAGGTGTTTGCATACACCAATGATGACGGGGTGTTATGTTCAGGGAAAGAAGGTTGCTGTTCTGGTCCTGATTGACCACCATCTACAAGGAGATGAATAGTCAGCTAGGGAATAGCCAGTGTTTCTCTCCTTTTCTGATTAACCAGCTGCATCTGGGTAGAAACACGAAGAAGAGAAACACTGTTACATCTTCGATGCCACACGGGTCCTACCGGACCCGACTTAGGGCCGGAGGGACACACCAGGGCCTAAAGGCCCGACCTTGAGGGTCACAGGCCCTAAAGGCCTGATTTTGCACTCAGCCCAGTGGGTAGGCCCAAACGACAGTTTGTTTGGGCCTGGCGGCTCTCTTGAGGCTGCCACCCGCCGAAGGAGGCTGAACCGTCCATCTGGAC